TGCAGTGACTGCTGATAGATTCATAGTGCTGAAACTTAACTCCTTGTGCCACTAGGGAGGCCCAGGTGCTTTTTGATGCATTTCATCCATTTCCCTGTTCTCACTATCACTTCAAAACCCCAATCTGACCTCGTATCTGTGAGTTCATTTTTCTTTAAGATTCCATACCTAAGCGATTATTCTTTTGCTGATTCCAGCAGCCTCTCTTTAGGAAACAGATGTGCAAAGATCCATTTACTTGGGTGCCTGGTCCAATAAATAAACACTTCTGAGGTTCTGAATCTGACGCTCTTGGTTTTTCTTTTCCAAGAAAACGCCCACTAATGAAGCCGGTCCTTGGAGCCAGCAGGCAAAGAAGCCCGAGGCCCCGGGGAAGGCCCATTCGCTCCCCAGCAGGAAGTATCATTCAGCCTGGAGAACCTTTATTCCCTTCCGCCCCAAGCCTGCGTGAGTCCTGAGGGAGAGGGTCAGTAGGCAAGACGGCTCAGCCAGCTCTCCGGGAGTTAGCCCCACACAGTCACGTGGCTGTTTGCATACATTGCAAAAGATCCCTGGCTAAATCTACTATCTGTGGTCACACATAGCCATAGTTAAAAACCACAGCAGCAAACCCCTCCAGAGCCAAGGGAGGCACAGGCAGCACATTCGTTCAGTCCTTGGTGACTCAGGAGGATTCACTGAGCACTTAGTGTGGTGGGTTTTGTGCCAGACCCTGCGGGATCAGCGCTGAGGAAGTCAGAGGGCTCTTTGCCCAGCAGGGACCCCACACGGTTGCGCGGCTATTTGCGTATATTGCAAAAGATCCCAGACTATAAGCCAAGAAACTCGTAAATAAACATATGATGACCAGTTGTTCCAAGTCAGTGCTATGGAGTGCTGAGGGCTAGTACGGCAGTGAAACCTGATGGGTTCTGAGTGATATAGCTAAGACCTGGAAGATGAACAAGATGTTGGTAGGCAAGAGTGATCTGGGCAGAGGTCAACGACTTGTGCAAAGGTGAAGGAACACAGTGTCCAGGACCTGGGAAGGAAGCCCATTTCCTGCTCACTGTCTTGCTGAATCTGTGTAGAGCCCTGCCCATGTCACAAGGAATCACCCACTTTTAGACACTCAAGATGCTTGTCTTAGTTAGCATGGTGCTGCCTTGCTTTTTTCTCTTTTTAGGTTTTTTTTTTAAAAAGATTTATTTAATTATGCATACAGAACTGGGGTATAGGCCAGAGGTGCAGGGGCAGTGAGAGGATTCACCAGAGGCAGAGTGGGGAGCAGAACAGGCAGATCACGAAGTCCACTGCTGAAGGGAGCAGAAGGCGGGTCAGGAGAGGTCTGCCACGCCATGTGGGTCACCTCTGGGGTGAGAATCAAACTCACACCCAATCGACCAAGGCCAGATTCGCAGTGTTGCACTAACCTGCTGCGCCACCAGGGACTCCCTCTCTCTTTTTTCAAACCAATCCCCCAGGGATTTTTTGATGTTTCATTTTTTAATGACCACATACTATGGAGTCGGGAGAAAAACTGATGACCAAGTAGGGGCTGCCACATGGTTCTGACTCAGTCTGGAGATCTTGCCCTTGTCTTAATTTTCTCTCTAGAGCCTGTATCCTAGGGGTGACTACATGCCTCTAACTTCTCTACTAGGGTTCCCTCCCCTCACCCCCTGGATGATGCTGGCCTCTTCTCCTACCTCACGGTGTCATGGCTCACCCCACTCATGGTCCTGGGCTTACAGAAACGCTTGGATGAGAGCACGACCCCGAAGCTGTCGGTGGAGGACGCTTCAGCCAAAAATGCCAAGAGGTAAAGTGTTGTTGGGCAAGCTGCCAGGCTTATTAAACACTTCCTCTTGGGAGACAGTGACCTGAGATGCTTAAGGGTAGGAGCGGGGTCCACCCTCAGACATCCGATGCATACCAGTAGCAAGAAGCCTCTGTGGAGTCTGGAAGTCCCAAGCCTGGAGCTCATGAATCCTCTGAGGCAGGGTACATATTTATACACATGGGCTAGAGAGTTTTCCCTGAAGCAAGAATTCTCTCATATTAGATTTGCCAATGGGCCCCAGACTCCAAGAAATTCCGAAGTGATAATAAGGATGGTAGTGCTTCTAGTCCCACTTGTTTTTTACTCCTGTCAGGCGTTTAACTGTGTTGTGAGCATCATGTTTTGGGTTATTGGTTCAGTCTCTTAATTCCTGAGCTAAAACACTTGTGAGTACATGGCCTATGGTGTCTACCACACAAGGTTATTGAAGGTCAAATAGGGGAAAGTGAACGA